ATAAGGCCTTTCCAATATAAATTAAATGCTAAAGCATTACCTACTACAAAATATACTTTCCTTCCTAACATAAGAATATACAATCTATACTGAATTACCAAACAAATATGTATTCACATGAATTCTAAAGAGCTAATTCTGAAACTCATATAGTTGAACATCAGAAACATCATAAACATGTTACAAAAGGCTAAGCCTATAGTAAGGAAATACTCCAAGAAAAGGTAAAGCTATACAACAATAATTCATCATACATAGAGGCTTCAAAGGTATTTATGACATGATCAACTTTCTCAGTAGGTCCACTAACTTACAGACTATGACAAGGAATTCTTAAGCATCATGTTCCTAATGGCATTAACTTCAAATAAATCATCAAGTTCAGATAATATCAGCAAAGATCCTTATGAGACTTTAGGGATTAGACTCAATTTTAAAATTATCAAGAGAGCAGAGACTAGGACAATTCTGGACAATATGTATAACAAGGAATTAAGCAAGAACATGCACTAGTTAATTAGCTACTTAAACATTTCAGGTCAGTAATGACCTTATACAGACAGAGGAATCCTTACATGTTTTGAGAGTTACATACAAGGGATAGGCATTGCATCAGGATAGGTTTTAACACAAACTTAATTCTAAGTTAGCACATAGATATAAAGATGATCATGCTTCTTTTTACAAGTTATCACTTAACTAGGGCAGAGTGACTGGTTTCTTTAAAAGATAAATATGCATGCCAGCCCTTTCGAAGATGCACGATGACTTTAAAGATAAGAGATAGGAGATATAATACTAAATAAGCATGCTGCTGAGGGGTGTTGACTAATCAAGAAAACTATTAAGTTCAGTTTATCTAATTACCAGTCTCTATAACCAAGAGAAAAGAACAAAATCCTAATCACATTATGTGAAAATATGGATTATCCTTAACAATATGTACAATAGGATTACAAAGAGAAGAAATGATGGGTTTAGTTCAAATAAGATCATGTTAACTAACGCAAAAAGAAACTAAGCAAAATGAAAGACAATAGCATCAACAATCTAACAGACTTAAACAAAGGAGATATCATATGAACACTCAGAATTTCTGCCCAAGGTTTAATGTGATAGAAAATATAAACTTAACACCTTCAAATTAATTCAATCATAGTTATCAGAATATAAATTCAATCCTCAAAAACTCACAAGCAATAGAGATGCAACATGCAATGATAAGAGTTACTGCATGCCAACAAAGCTATAAGGTTCATGTGAATATGAACAATCAACTTAAATGGGTAAACTGCTGGAAACTCAGGTAATAAGATCAGCAAGAATCAATTATAGTTTAGTTAACCATCATTTAAAGACTCATAGCAGGACAACTATTCACAAGTAGTAACTAGCTGACAGGGCACGAGTATTAACATATTAAATATCATAGAACAACTATAATATACAGAACCTAACTTAGCATACTCGTATCATTCAAAGTAAACGAACAAAAGAGAAAAATGAGAGAGATGCTGGCCTTTTTGAGAGCAGCAGATCAAACGCTTGCTCTTTTTAGCTTCTTAAGATCCCAGAACACTAGTGTTTGGACCAATGATAATGCTCAACAAAAAAAGAAAACAATGAGAAACCTAAGGCTAAAACTTCTCAGTATTTTTTGTATGTGTATCTCTTCAGTGTTAGGTCTTAATTCTTAGGTTATCTCCCTATTAGGTGAGAGAATTGAAAGCCCTATTTATAGTTCCATTCAATGCCTTAGGGTTTCAGGATTCAAACTATGATAGTGGGAGATGACTCATGATAATGATGATATCAAATCGAGTAAAAATCAGAAGACAGAAGGGGGAAGTCAGTATTGAGTTTACCTGAGTGGAGGGTAATTGGTTGTTGAAACTTCGAACCAACAGACAAACCCTAAAACCCAGAGGTCATTACGTTTGACCTTTGGGTATAGGATTCCATGATGATTTTCTGAAGAAGGTTTCATGCATGCTCTGATTTAACAAAGCATGAAGGAACATTAGAGGCTTGATATTGCGTCTTTGGGTCTAGGGTTTCAAGATTCAGAGGTTTGAATTTTGATTGAAAAAGGAATTTGCAGAAGGATTCACTGACTTCAAGAGGAAAGAGATGATTTTAGGCTTCGATTTGAAAGATCATAACATAGCTCAGGCAATTGTAGCTTTCATCTTTGAGTCTAGGGTTAATCTTTGGGGGTCTAGAATTTGTGTGATGAAATGGTAATGAAATTTGCGAGATTTGCGGATTCAGAAGGCAAAACAGATGAAATCTCTGATCGATTTGTGACCTTGCACTAATTTGTGCAAGGTTTGTGACTGATTGAGTTTGTGAGGTTGAGAGAAAAGAGAGGGGGAAAGGGAAAGAGAGGCGGCCAGGTCTCTGAGTGAAATGATTAGGGTTTGGGGAGTGAGTTTGGTCGTCTCTCAGTTAAGATAGGGAGATGGAATGGGAGCCGTTGGATCTGTTGATCAGCGTCTCTGATCATTTTGATAATTAGGAATTTTTAAATGATTTCAATGGGGAAAATCGATGGCCATTAGATGATATAGTTTGGACGATTGAGATTAGATATGGAGGTGTAGTAAAAATAAAGAGAACAGAGTTAAAATTGTGGGCCGTTGATTTACGGAATGGACGGCCCAGATAATTTTGTGTTTCTTTTGTGACTGACTGAGACGGGTGATGTGTCAAGGTTCAATTGGTCTAATAGGAGTGGCATGGATTGCCAATTGGTCAGACTGGTTCAACGATTTGGGCCAAAAATCAATTTCAAAGATGGCCATTTTATAAATGATTCAAGAATTGCAATTGTGGCATTTTCATCTTTAATCCCTTTTGAAATTAAGTTAAATAAAGTTAATAATTTTCAATAAAATTTAATGAAAGTTATAATTGTTAAATATTACTAATTATTGTAATTAATTGATTATTTGTAAAAATAATTCACTAGGACATTAATTTTGAATTATTGAAATAGTAAACCAATTAACTATTTTAAGAAGTAATTTATTGAATTAATTATAAAATTTACGTGTACAAATTATTTTAATAATCCTAAAATAGTGAATGTAATTTGTAATTACATAATACTTATACCAAATAATTAATTTTAAAACTAATACTGAATTAATTTGTAGAAATAGGCATTCATTACTGATAAATACTTTGAAAATATTTATTGTAAATTATTAAATATAAATAAATTAATTTTAAAAGGGAGGGTCAAAATTAGTTGTCAACAACTTCCCCTCTTTGATTGGAGACGATGAAAGAGTTTTCGGGAAAATAAATTGAGCCAAAGTCAATTTTGTCCCGACTTTTAGGCAGGTATTGCAAGAAATGGGAAGGGTGAATTGCAAGAAATGGGAAGGGTAAATTGCAAGATTGAATTGAGGAGAAATCTAGAAAGGTTCGGGAGTATCGAGCCGAATTATTGCTTTGAATTGCTTACATACCCCGGGCTTAATGAGGATCAGGCCTCATGTAATTCTGGAGTAGGGAATTTGGGGTATTATTACTCGCAAGAATTTCCCCATTATCGTATTGCAATGATACGGCGAGACGGAAGATTGGTCACTCATGGTAGCTTGAGTTTTGCGGCCTGATTTGAATGATTCAAAATTTAGAGTTCGCTGATCGTCTTGAGCTGGGATCTTAGGCTCGCTACTGGGTTGGATGTCCCCATAGCGCTGTAGTTTGGTCTGATGCTAAGAAAAAATTGCACGTTGTGGTATTTCATTTGTTCCTACAAAATAAATGAAATACATGCATAACAATATATTGTAACTGCATAATATATTAAGATGCGATGTAAATAATGCAGGAATGATGATGCCTGGCTGTCGGTGAGCCGTTATTTGGGTTTGGGATGATGGAATACTTGATCCTGACTCGATTTATTAGCCGTGATATGTACCATTTCGCAACTATCGGAGAATTTGAAAATTGTCTCCGCTTGTTGGGAGACTTTTGCACTGAGAAATATCTCCGCTTTTTGGGAGAGCTCGATTTGTAAAGTGAATATCCACTTGCTGGAGAGCTTTGCACCGAAATGTAAAGTGTTCTCCATTCGGGAGTGATTGATAAAAATCATAATAATACCTAAAGCTGCATGAGCAAAACGTCAAAACATTCAAAGTAATAGTAAAGGAAATGAAAGCATGCCCAAGAGATACTCTTGACTGCGAAGCTAGGTTGCGGCCATCGATTGACAGGATGTTGGTAACGCGGTTTGCAGTTGTCTGTCCCGGTGTACTGGATTAATAGAGCGGTGCTGCGAATTGCTTTTGCTTGCAAAGATTGCAGTTTTTCTATATACAAGGCTCCAGTTGGTGAAGCCGTCGTTCGATTTTTACAAGATGCCCCAATTTGATTGAGCGGACGATTTGCTCTATACAGGACTTTGATTGGTGAAGCCAACGTTAGATTTGTACAAGGTGCTCCGATTGATTTAGCTGACGGTTTGCTATATATAGGAATTCGATTGGTGAAGCCGACGTGCGATTTGTATAGGGTGCTCCGATTGGTTGAGCAGGCGGTTTGCTATGAACAAATTTTGTGTCAGTTGTCTGATTCTGAGGCACATGCAGAGGATTAAAGAGTTAACTTTAGCTGTACTAGAAACGATTAAGTAAAAAGGAGGAGAGATAATCTTAGGAAAGTGAAAGATCCGTCATTTTCCCCAGTGTGGTCCTAGCACTTTCTTATTCCCTGTTGAGGATTGCCTACATATTCCTTTCTAAGGAAATCAAGTCGGCGTAGTTCCTGAGCCACATACAAAAGTGATATTAGGTTTTTCTATTACAAGAGAAAGGGGGAGAGAAACCGAACCCTACGTGTGTTGCCTACGTATCCCTCCGTGGGAAGTCAGGTTGAACGTAGTTCTATTACATCAAGAACCCTAACTCTATTTGTCTTCAGGCATAATATCTCTTGATTGCATCTGAGTTGATAGGTTTCGTGCTGACTCTTCCATCCATTTATTCTAGTATTAGAGCTCCACCAGACAGTGCTCGGTGAACCATGTAAAGACATTGCCAATTTGGTGCAAACTTTCCTTTGGCTTCTTCTTGATTGGGAAAGATTTTCTTAAGAACCAACTGCCCCGGTGTGAATTGGCGAGGCTTCACTCTTTTGTTAAAGTCACTGGCCATCCTGTTCTGATACAGATGTCCATGACACAGTTCATTCATTCTTTTCTCTTCAATGAGCATGAGTTGTTCCTGCCTGACTTGTATCCTCTATGCGTCGTCCAATTTTGCCTCTTGAATGACTCTTTAGGATGGTATGTCGACCTATGCGGGTATCACCATTTCAGTTCCGTATACCAACATGTATGGCATTTCCCCAATGGATGTTTTCATGGTAGTTTGATAACCCAGTAAAGTGAAAGGTAGCTTCTCGTGCCATTATTTGTGATTGTCCACTCTCTTTCGTAGAATCCTCTTGATATTATTGTTAGCTGCCTCGACTGCCCCATTCATTCGCGGTCTGTAGACTGTGAAATTACAATGGACGATTTTGAACTTCTCGCAGATTTGTCTCATGAGGTCGCTATTGAGGTTAGCGACATTATGAGTGATGATATCCCAAATATGCAGACGATGTTAATTCGGACAAAATCTGACACTACCTTTTTTTTGTGACGGCCTTGTAAGTAGATGCCTCGACCCATTTGGTGAAATAGTTGATGGATACCAAGATGAAACAATGCCCGTTTGATGCTGCAGGCTCTCTGGGCCCAATCACGTACAAGCCCCAGGTCGCTAACGACCAGGGTAAACCAATTACATTTAACTCATTTGGTGGAACTCAGATGAATTCTCCATGAATCTGGCACTAGTGACACTTCTGCACGCAGTGGATACTATCTCTTTCCATATTAATCCAAAAGTATCCAGCTCTCAAAATTTTCTTGGCTAATGTGAACCTGTTCATGTGGGGTCTACACGTCCCCGCATGTATTTCTTTCAATAGTCTGGTCGCTTCAGCAGCGTCTACATATCTCAGCAACCTAAGTCTGGGTCCTCCTGTACAAGACTTCCCCGTAGAGGAAAAAGTGGTTTGCTAACCTCCTGAGGGCTCGCTGTTGACCATTAGTAGCATTCTCTGGGTACTCTTGGGTCGTAAGGAATTTCTTGATGTCGTGATACCATGGTTTACCATCTGGTTCTTTATTCACATGAAAGCAATAGGTGTGTTGATCCTTGATTTCTACCTTGATAGGGTCGATAAAATTCTTATCTGGATGCTGAATCATAGATGATATGGTTGTAAAGGCGTTGGCAAACTCGTTCTGAATTCTAGGGACATGATTGAACTCAATCTTTGTGAGCTTCTTGCACAGCTCCCTCACACAGTGCAGGTAAGGCAATATCTTGATATTCTTGGTGGACCATTCTCCTTGGACTTGGTGTATCAACAAATTTGAATCTCCTATGACCAAAAGTTCTTTGATGTTCATGTCGACTGCCATTCTGATTCCATGAATGCACGCTTCTTATTCAGCCATATTATTGGTAGAGGTTTTGGCCAATATTGTCAGGGTAGGTCTATTTTGGTCCCTCAAATATAGTTTTGAGTATATTTAGTCCCTTAAGTATGCTAAAGTGGAGCACCTTTAATCTCACTGACACAATGTGTTCAAAAACTAACGGTGTTACCCAACTTTGATTCATGAAGCAAATCTTCTGCTCTGAAGCAAAATGTTTCCTCTCCTTTTTTGGATAACGCAAATTATCACTTTAATTCCTCATTTTTAGATAATGTCTTATAAAATTTTAACCTTGAAAATATCCCCTTCTGTGCTAGATTTCAATGAGAAAATGACACTGTATAGCTGCTGTAAAAAGAATATATNTCCGCTACCAGATATAAATAGTTTCTGGCACGGGCTAAAAGTGACAATACAACCTGGTTATTCGTTTACTTCAATAATATGCCTAGAAGTGATCCTGGAAGCTCTATTTGTTTTTCAATTTTTAACTTTTCTTTTTGGGTAAATTAACAAATATTTTTAAATGTATATATATACAACGGCTATACAGTGTTATTTTCTCATTGCTGGCACATAATGGGAATTAAAGTGATAATTTAAATTATACAATAAAAGGAGAGAAAGCATTTTGCTTCAGAGTAGAAGATTTGCTTCATGAATCAGAGTTGGGTAACACCGTTAGTTTTTAAACATATTGTGTCAGTGAGACTAAATGTACCCCACTTTAGCTTACTTAAGGGACTAAATATGCTCAGGATTATATTTGAGGGACCAAAATAGACACGCCCTCAAAGATAAAGGACAATATTAGCCAAAAACTCATTATTGGTACAAGGGAATCTTATCTTTGCCGATGCTGGATAGTGTTGTCCAGATTCTAAAATCAGGACTGCCCCAATTCCGACTCCTTTGAAATTTGTCCACCCAGGGTATGATTTTACAATATCCTCTCCGGAAAATAGTGCTTCTTCATCGGGGAAATATGTGGTGAGAGGTTCGTAGTCTCCATCCACTGGATTCGCGGCGAGGTGGTCGGCTAAAGCTTGCCCTTTGTTAGCCTTTTAATTTATGTACACAATGTCAAATTCACTGAGGAGAATTTGCCATTTAGCTAGCTTCCCGGTAGGCATTGGCTTCTGAAAAATGAACTTGAGCGGGTTGAGTCGACATATCAGATGCGTAGTGTATGCCAACATGTAATGCCTTAGCTTCTGAGCAATCCAAGTTAGAGCACAACAAGTGCATTCTATCAGGGTATACTTGGCCTTGCATGGTGTGAACCTTTTGCTTAAGTAGTAGATGGCCTGCTCTTTTCTTCTGATTTTGTCATGTTGCCCTAACACACAACCGGAGGCATTGTCCACGACTGACAAATACGGCAGCAATGGTTTCCCTGGTTTGGGGGTAACCAGCACTGGCAGGTTTGAAAGATACTCTTTTATTCTATTGAAGGCTTTTCGGCACTCCTCCGTCCATTTCGTGGAAGCATCCTTCTTTAGCATCTTGAAAAAGGGTTCACAGATTACCGCAAACTGGGCTATGAAATGCCCGATATAATTCAGTCTACCCAGGAAACTCATGACATCTTTCTTGCTCTATGGTGGCGGTAATTCCTAGATGGCATTGACTTTTGATGGATCCAGTTCTATCCCTTTCCTGCTTATAGTGAAACCCAATAGTTTCCCAGCGGGGACTCCGGACGCACACTTTGCTGGGTTCAACTTCAAACTGCACCTTCGCAGGCGTTCGAAAAATTTTCTCAAGTCGTCCAAGTGCTCTGAACTCTTTCGAGACTTTATGATGATGTCATCCGCATACACCTTCAATCTCCTTATGGATGATATCGTGAAAGAGGGTCGTCATGGCCCTCATGTAGGTGGCGCCGATATTCTTGAGACCGAACGGCATAACTCTTCCCACAATTGTGGATGAGAATGTGGTTATTTGGCAGGGAAAATCATCCTTTGGACTAGATTTGTTGAGATCTCGGTAGTCCACACATATTCTGATCTTTTCGTCCTTCTTAGGTACTAGGACGATGTTTGCCAACCAGCTTGGATAGTTGGTGACCCTTACTACATTTGCTTCTATCTGTTTGGTCACGTCTTTCTTTATCCTCAGACTTAAACGAGGTTTGAACTTTCTGGGCTTCTGCTTGACCGATGGCCTAGTAGGGTCATCATAGGACCATGCGAGACAATGTCGGTACTTAATCCTGGCATGTCATCATAGGACCATGCGAACACGTCAACGTACTGTCGGAGGAGCTCAATTATTTTTTCATTCTGCTCAGCTTCTAGGTGAATGCTGATTCCGGTTAATTTTACATCTTCTTCGCTTCCAATATTGACCACTTCCATTTTTTTTTAGATTGGGCTGCTTATGACTCTCCACTTGCTCGATCTACTACAGGAGATTGTCTGGCATCATACTCTCATCATATTTCTCATAACACAAGCCATTGCGCTCTACGGTTTCGTTACATGTCATAATCGTGGAGTGCAGTTTTTTTATCATTTTGATTATTGAAAAGAAAAACTAAGTATAAATAAAGTGGTAAAACAAAGTTGCAATATTTAGGAAAATGGTTCTTTTTATTTTATAAGAAGGGCAACGTCTTAAGTGTTCACAAGAGGCAAATGACAAAAAGGTACAGACACGGTACATGCCTCAATTGACAGTGCTCTTCTCAAAAGAAAACTTTTATAGTTCCATACTACCAAGACTCCCGGCGAAATGAAGATGGACTGGCGGTCCAATTCTTTAGATCCTCATATGGTTTGGCATCCCTGATAGTCGGTGCCTTGATGTCTATTTCTTCACAACATTCTTCAATCATATTCACGAACAATTTTTCCATCATGTCAATGATATCATCTTCGGGTGCTAAACTCTCTCCCGGACTTGCAACATGCTCTGGCACAAAAACCTTTTTTTCGGAGCTAATAGTGCGAGCTTTCCCTTTCGGAGGCTGATATCCTATGCCAGTGAAGAGAGGCATAACTTGTGATATATTTGCATTATCTTTTTGGTTGAGTTCATTAATTCTTCTTAGTAATCGAAAGAGGCTGGTTGAATTATTGATTTAACCTAGTTAGGAGGATAATCGAGAGAGGTTCTCCTAAAGACCAATCCATTACGCATTCTTGCATATCTTCACGTGCTTAAATTGGTTCGTCTCATGAGGTTAAGACTTAATCGAGAGAGGAGTTTTTGCTGAACGTTTGAACTAATAATTGAGTGAATTCGAGAAACTCACTTAAACATTAGAAGTGAATGATCTAGAGTTAGATCCCAAATAATTATCTTGCGCTTATCCTATCAACCCCTATTTTCTCCCACTGATAACTTCCTTGCTTACCTTTGTTGCGATATTCATTAGTCAATAGCTTTTGACTCTTAGTTAATTGTAGGTATTAATCATATAAATCTCAATTGTGGATTCTCCTGAATAGAAATCAAGCTAGACACTACAAAAATACTGTTTAACTCCAATCCCAGAGGATATAATATTATACTATACTATCGTTGACTAGCGAGCATAATTTAAGTGGTATTTTTCGCTCGTCAAACTTCACCTAGTGTAATTGTTTGCCCTATTCTATCATCTGTACACAAGATATTAGTGAAATCCCCACTAATAAGCCAAAGTGTTTGTATCTGAGCTCCCAGTGCCTATAAGTCATGCCATTAGATGTCTCTCTTTTGAGGTTCATTCTTAGCATAGATTACTGTCACAAGTGCATGAAAGTTTGATGCTGAGTTCACCACAGTTTAGTGAATAAATTGCTCATGAGTTTGTAAGAAATTGACTGTGAGATGAGATCTCCATAATAGCCAAATCCTATTATTTACTGCCTGGGCATAGTTGCAGCAATATCCCCAATATTTTGCCACTATACTTAGTATTTTCCTTGCCTTTATTTCCTTATTTATAGTTTCAAGACATCCAATGATATTTATTTTATTCTTACCTAGAAAGAACCTTAAATCCTTCTGTTTATAGGGTTTATTCAGCCCCCTAATGTTCCATGTACTCACTATCATGGAAGATGGAATGAGGGATCATTCCCACACTTGTCCCGTCTTGAGGTACTAGGAACACAGTCAGTTAGAGCCTCATATCTATTTGCAATAATCACTCCTTCATGTTGTTGTGAGTGTTGCCTTTGAGCAATAACATGTCATTGATCAGTTCTATCCTCACCCCTCTTGGGTGTATGGCTAGAAGCATCTGTAACAATTGTTTTCTATCTGTCATCACCAGTATTTTCCCGTGGAGCCTCCACATCATTCATAGAAGTTTCATCATCATTCTCTACAAGTTCTTTTTGTTTCCATTCTTGCACTACTCTTTTCTTCTTAGTCCTTCTTCTTCGTTTTGGTGCTTGGAATTTTGACCCCTCAATTTCCTTGTGACTGTTTCTCCAGCAGGTATCCTTATCATGGCCAAAATGATTGCAATCCAAGCAAAACTTTGGTTTCCAGTCCTGAATAGTTCCTGAAGGGGTATTAATGTCGATATACTCCGCCAATGGCTTTGTGATATCAACCTTCACTAGGACTCGAGCATAAGTGATTTTGTTGAGATCAGTCGTGTATCTATCAGTGTACATAGGGGATCCAATGGCACTAGATACTTTGCTAGGTGCTTCTGCAGTCCAATATCCTGCTAGTAGCCCAGGAAAGTTCACCCATAGAGGAATAAATGTGATGCATTGAGTGTCAAAATAGAAGTCTCTTTCCCAATTCTGCAAAATGAATGGCTTATTGTGGTAGGTGTAAGGGTCTTCTTGCATAACCATATCTCTACCCTCAATTGTGGGGAATCGAAATACATAATAGCCGTTACTGTGATACATAATTTGGGTCTTTGAGGCAAAATCTTAGATAGATGTGACAAAATAATCCACAGACTTTTCATATGGAGTATCTCCCAACACATAACCAATTAAGGTAGTATCCCAATGATCATTTAG